CCAACTGTTTAATGTATAATGAGGGCCTTTTCTGCCATGCTGATTCGGTATTAGACAGGGAGGAGGAGGATGAAGAGGAGGCCCCAGGCAGCGCTGCAGTGCAGAGTTCAGCGGGGAGATATTGTTGTAAGCCTGGGAAAGTGTAGCGGGGCTGACGCCAGACTCTGTTGAGCTGAGGGAGGGAGGGGGGGTGATCTTGGAGAATCCCAGACCTGATTGTCATGTTAATTTCTTCTGGGTGCGTTGTTGAACTTGATGTTGACTTCTTTCTTCTCTCTGTCTCTCTCGCTCTTTTACCCCTCACTGAAAGGTTTTTTTTTTCAGGGGGGGGGGGGGCATTTCCCTGTCACTTATTTGTGGGAAAATTCATCTCGCACACATAACTAATCCCCCACCCCCACCGCCCCCCTCACACACATACCTAATATGTTATCATACTTGCGCACTTCAGGTTAAATGTTTTCAAACCTAAAGTTGATTCTATGAACTCCATCAATTCATTTTAGATTGTTTTAATCCTTTTAAAATCGAAAATTATTACTTTAAAAAAAATTCCTACAAATACATTGGATTTATTGGCATTTTTCACATTTGTAGAATAAGAACACACTAGTAATGTACGGTATTGCATTAAATGGCTCCAGGTGTTTTCCAAATCTTTTACTTTTACAGTTAATTATTAACCATCATGTTAAGAGATTTCAAGGAAATACACACACCAGTGCATGCCCACGTTTCGGTCGCCTGTGACCAATGCTGACAGTGCAATTTACACAATTTTATTTTTTTCTAAGGAAAATAAGTGCAGTTGGGTTCATTGCCCCCTCCCCGCGTGCGTCTGCGCAAGACGCATAAGAAAGATCTGCAGGATGACAGCAGCAGATCACGTCTGAGGGAATACAGCGATGTAATCATCAGATATGGAGCGTCTATCTGTTTGAACCATTCAAACTGTAACCCTGATCCTTTGGTGCTCCGCACATGCGCACATTTTCCCCTCTTTTAACATTTCAAACACTTGCCTGACAGATACAGAGGCTCAAAGGCCATCACTGTAATCATCGCCCAACATCTTTTTCTTTTCAGCTGCAGGTATCATAAGCCCACATATCATAGTAGGATGTAACGCTGCAAGACCTTACTTCAGCAACTAAATGCGTTTATTTATTAGAAAAGTAATTATTTAAAAGTTAAAGGAGGGAATAATCCATATCAACAGATCACAATATATTTCGTGTTGCATGAGAACAGTAATGACTTATATTTAAACTTAAGCTGCTCTAACCAATAGGGCTGCAATTACATATAAAAACTGCAAAAAATGGAAATCTGAATGAGTCATTTTCTAAATTAAGTGCATTTTTCTTGAATTGAGGAGGTAATTGAGATACTTTGCTAATGATAAGAAAAAAATAGCTTTGTCTTATTTCAAGTGCATGTTATCTAATTATCTTGTTTTAGGAGTAAAAATACTAATTCCATTGGCAAATCATCTTATTTATCTGCTAAAATTAAGGGTAAATACACTCAATTTAATATTTTTTTTACTCAATTCTAGATGGTTCCTGCAGTGAAGCCTTATGCTGTTTGACACAATTCCTTTTTGTTATCAATGATTACTTTTGTAAAAATTTAATGCAAACAACTTGTGAAAACATTTCCAGCGTCCAGTTTAGTGTAGATATCTTGATTTTAAGATATATTTTGGAGTACCTATAGTTACAGTTTGACCTGAATCGTTACAGATTAAAGGTTTATGGTCCAGTGTTTTCTGTTAGATTTTGTCTGGCAATGTAAGCCCCCAAAATGAAAAAGAAAAGCATGATTTTATCACATTTCTGATTTCACAGTCTGATTTGCTCATGGGCACCAGTACTAAATTTGGTGATAATCCACGGTGTCCCTGTACTTAGAGCACCCATAATGAGGATAATTGGGAGAATCAGCTCCCTGATTGACAGACACCTGCATTCATTTTCAAATTGGCTTTGATAATCTGTGCTTCCCGCCTCTCGCTGCACCCCCCACCCCTCTCTCTCTCTCTCCATTCGAGGCGGAGTTTATCCCCTCAGCTCTCCCTGTGCGCCCTCACTCAGCACACTGGCAGAGTGAGGAGCAGGATGTTGCTACTTTCTCCGCAGAATATTACAGAACACCCTTTAAGCTGCATTATTAGTCATTACTTCACTGGATGTAATAGAGAACTAGAGGTTATTTAGATCAGGTTTCCAAAGGAGGAACTGGGATTCCTGGACAACATAAATAAAGGGAGTTGTGATTGAGCAAGTAAGTAAGCTTTTATAAAGTGGAACTGATATGGATACTTCTTATTCTTGTTTTAAGAGAACTATTTTATATGTGTAACACATTATTTTATCTTGGATTGTGTCTTTTTGTGTGTTTCCAGACATGCAAAGCTGAGTTATAGCATTTATAAAACCGGCTGATTCAGGTCAGATTTGATGCTAAAGAACATGGAAAGAAACCTAAATGTTACTGCAGAGCCTGTCATGTTTGTGCTCGGTTCTCAGACCTTTAGGCAACACAGATCTGCAGGTCTGAGCAGAAGTTTCATGTTGGGAAGACTTTTAAGGCTTATTATTTATAGAGTTGATCTGCGAGTGGAAGTCTTCATGAAGTGTTTTTATTTTTTCTCAAACTAAACTCTTTGTTTGGCCTTAATATCTATAAAGCATGAATCAGTATTTATATAGGCTACATATATATCTGTATAAATATATATATGATTCTGATGGGAATCTCGCTCCCTCTGTGTGTGAAAGAGAGAGAGACAGAGAGGGGGCTCTCTGTGCAGAAGAACCTCGGCTCTCCCCCTCTATCCATCCTCTCTCTGATGCTGGGCGGCCCCTTTAAGAGACAGCGGGTCAGATTGTGTCTTTGGTTATCTAGCTGTATGAGTTTTAATTTCATAAAGCTAGAGAACCGAAAGTACGAGCTGACGCCGATGACTTCGAAGCTGACGGTCCTCTCCGCTCGACATGAAGGAGGATACAGAAGGAGGAGGAGGAGGATGCTGGGGCGGACAGCAGCCAGGAGGAAGCAGCAGGAGCGGTGCTGAGCGGAGGAGAAGGAGGAGTGATGGAAGGAGCTGGGATCTAACCACCACCGGGATGATTTTAAACATCCTCTTTGCGTAAAAAAAAAAAAAAACCTGAAATGGAGCTACCTGCGCGCGTGGGTGATGAGTGCGTGAATGAGTCGATGCATCGGCCTGTTTGCATCCATCCAATCTGACCAACTTTGGGAAATAAGGTTGAATTGCACCTTGGAAACAACCATAAAGCTGACTGTCTGTAGTTCTCATAACTATATGGGTGTTATACCGGTGATATATTGGAGGGTGCAACAGAAATAGTTAAAGGGGACGATGTGATTGGTCGATCTAGAACTCACGTGATTGTGTTGGCAGCAGCAGAATCAGACACGCGCTCTCTTTGATGGGTGCTGTGGATACATGTTGGACTGGAATTGCATGTAGACTTAAAACATTGGTATCTATTCTTAACCCTTTAGCAGTATTTCAGATCCATGGCACATAGGACATTGAAACACAATGGTCCTCAGGTGGGACTGTCTGTGGATTTACTTACCTGCCTAATGCAGATTGCATGCAAACTGTAGGACTGATCCTGCACAACCTTGCTACAATCTTGGACTTCAGGTCATACATTAGGCCCCAAATTCTCATCCAGTAGTTGAAATTTTGGAGTAAGCCTAGTGTTTGGTCACTCTTTTGAGGTGGAAGCAAAGGCAAGTGGTTCAGTTGTATTTATAGTCTTAAGTCATATTCCTGTTTAAATCTTAGGCCTTTATTTTGAATAATTAGGGTCAGTTAAACCTCATATTTTCTCTCCAAGATGTACAGTTATTTCTACAGTGATAATGCCAGCATGTTTGTGCGTTATAAGAGAAAAAGACAAGATAAACAATAAGAGAGTTAACTCCATAATGTCAGTTTGGTTTAGTCAAACTATCCGAATGAGGAAAACGGTTGATATCCACATATTGCATTTCTGTGAAAACAAACATGTGTGACCATGCTTAGTGCTATCCGAATAGTTCTAGTAGTAAGGAAGGAGGTAAAGGAAAAAGTATGCTTTAGAATATAGGCCTTCAGCTGTTTCCTACGTTTGGGCGACCAAGTATGTTGTAGTTCTTTTATGGAAGGCTTTAGTCCAAATTTCACAAGCATCATCCATATGCGTCTGATGCCTAATCACGTTCTGGAGCTAAAGGCTGTCCAGATAATCTGATGTATGGAGTAAGGCTTAGTCAAGTGATGTGGGTCCCTTCAAGATGCCCTTTATGCATTATGACCCACTGAGTAATCACCCAGCCTAAGGGAAACCCACATGTGCCACAGATACATTGGTTACCTCAGTATATAGACAGTTTAATTACTATTATCTCTACTTGACATGTTTAAGAAGTCCCAGTACTTGGAATGCTTTAGTTTTGTGTGTTATGTAATCAAACAAACAAACCAAAAGAAAAAAAATTGGGAAATTATAACTAATAGGTGGCTAGAGGTCCAAATTATAAAAGTGTTTCTTTCCAACAGCCTATGTTCCTTAATATAACATGGCTACCTCTTAAATAAAGGTTGGAAAATAACATTTTCTATATAGTGAAAAGCTCATTTTGTAAAGAAGTGCTACGATACTTGAAACTCCAGCAGCATGAGACTGTAATGCTAATCACCAAGCATCTCTCTGAGCAGATCTTACGTGTCTCTTCAGGCCTGACTCATCTCTATGATGAGTTAGATATTCTTCCCATATATACATTCCATCTTCCACGTTAAATAGAACATAAGCCATTCCAAGTCATACCTCAAATTCTTAAAGGTTGCTCTACAACATTTATCTTTAGGGTTCTGATGATGCAAAGATAAATATTGAAAATATGGTTTAAATTATCTACTGATCATCTCTACCTCAAGTATCTGTTTTAATAACCACAGAGACAACAGTAATACTACTGGTTGTATTTGTACAGACATTGGAGAAGCATAATAACTGATGCTTCTGGCTTTAAGTAAAATAACTATGACTGGATGCCGGTGTAAGAACAGCAGGTGCTGGATGAAGCTCAGTAGATCCTGGTTTGGATTCCAATGAAATGATAATCTTTTCCAGAAATATATCCTGTTCATAGAGCATCAGGGCTGTGTTTAAGAAGGTTTGGGCCCTTGGACTAAAGAGAAATGAATTTGACTGTTAACATCAACTTCTGGATGAAAATTACCTTTTTTGCACTAATATTTGTGTTTATATAAGCATTATAAAATATCTAAAGATATCTTCCTGTGTGTAAAAAAAAAAAAAAACAGTATTTACCAGTAATTATGCCAGGACGCCCTGTGTGTTTTTTTTTTTAAATCAGGCACTAAAATACGCCAGATATAAAGATGGAGTCATGAAGCATGAGCTCATGGCTTTCTTTTGTTACATTTAGCGTGCTTTGGATTGAGAATTAGGTCAGAGGCGGAGCTGCGGCATCATTATTCCCCAAATAGTTTTTGGTCAGCTATCTAACATTAAAAACAATTACCTAACATCCACTCATTAAAAAAATTTATAAAACACATTTGGGACTCTGATACCACAAAGCCATGCTATAGCCTGCCTTGTATACATAGATTCTTACAAGAAAATTAGGCTTTACTCACCTGTTTTTGTTAACAAGCTTTCAGCTAAGGCTTCACATGGTAAATCTGCCCAAATTTGTTTCATTATGATTAAATGATGTTTGCACTCGCCTGCGCAATAATAACTAAATAGGACATCGGCTGCAGGGTTTGATCTATTCTTAGGGTAGAATTGGCAAGCCGCAGTGATGACTGAATATCCCTGAAGTCCCAGCATGCTCCATTTAGACCATGACTGACAATATTTGATGTGCACTGTTGAACAAGAGTGCTCAGATCTGGGATTTTTTTTGTTGCATGTGGATCTATGGTTTTGATGTCAGGCAGAGTAAATAGAAATTGGTGAGGTTTGGTTATGTTATGCTAATGGGATATGTGTTCATCAGAGTCATATGCTGTCATACATTTTATTATGCTGACTAGTAAAAATATTCTTTAGGTCACTATCTTTCTTTATAGAAGCTTTCATTTTTATTGAATTGTAGTCCAACAAGATGTATTTTATCCACGATAGAAGAATTCCTATATAGGCTTACAATGACATAAAAAAGTAATGAGAAATGGATACAAATATAAAACATGTTTAACAGACTGCCATTGTGTCAAGGTCAACTCAAATACATGAATCTATTTTCCGCAAATAATCAGTTTATACTCTTCTCGAGAAGGTGTGGTTTATTAACGGCTGTTTTCTTTATTGTTTTTTTTTCTATTTGTAGGAAAATGTCTGTGCTGGGCCAAAATGTTGCATTGGCGTCTGTGGAAGAAAAACTGCCAGTTAGCAGCATGAGGAGCAACTGCCAGCCTGCAGGTAAATATTCAAAATGAAGAGACTCATCATGTCAAGTGCAGATGTGCAGATGTTTGTGAGTCTGCTGATAAAAAAAAACAGAAATCTAGGAGATGTTGGGAGGATGCAAACATTTGTATCTAGTATCATTCGCTAGCTAAAGAGCTTTGGATGCCAGTGGATGACTGTTATACATGTGAAGTTTTGTGTTATTAAAAACAGAAAGGCAATGGGTTAGTTTTCCTTTTTGGCAAAAGCTCACCACAAATATGATGTTATAAATCAAAGGAGATTATATTTGAGATTATCTCACATATAATTTAACTGATTTTATACAACATTCTTAAGTGTTACTATCATCTGTTTACATCTCCTTTTCATTCAAAGATACACATGGTTATGACCATCGATCAAACTAAAATGAGTCTAACTAACCTGACCCTGGAGGTTGTCATTAAGGCCACAGAACAAGATCTGCAATTAGTAAAATGTCTTTTTAAAAACAACTTTACTGCTGATTTTCGACAGTGGTAGTTTATTAATAGGAAATATGGCTTTCCGCCCAGGCTGGCATGGCATTATGGACATATCAATAATTGAAGACAAAGCATAGTATGTCCCAGAACAGATGACATGAAATATCCAGTCTATGGGGCCAAGGGCCTCCCTGTAAAGTAAGCTTTGTAAAACAACATTAATGGAAAAACATTGCAAGCAGCTAATTATTTTATAGTTAGATTTGCAGCTTCAAGTGTGGCTCTAAGTGCTTCTTTGGTATTGTTCAGGGAGTATGAATTTCCTTGACCAACTCCCCTTCGACATCTAAAGAAAGACCTTATATTGTTTAAACCTGGGGAAGGTTGTTCTACACTGCCCAGAAACAATTTAAAAGGATTCTTGGGGATTAATTAGATATTTATTCTATTTGTGAAAACATAGCTATTACTGGATATGTGCAGATGCTATTTACCCACAAACCACCACAAGTTATGAAGGCTGCTATCATAAAACTCTGATGGTGATTATCAATTGCTCTAGTTTCATTTCTACTTAGGTACAAGGTGAGCAAACTCAAAACAATCTGAAATGGAGAAGAACCAACTGCAACTGATATAACCAGATCAAACAGCATTTGATTTATTAATTGGCTGATAAAACACTGTTAAAATATTGATTACTGGTTTTCCAATTCATTACATATATTCATTTTGATTAATAAATGATTATGTATTCTGGTGCAAATTTTCTATGTTCTATATTATATATATACATATATATATACAGTATATAATGCAAATTAGCAAAGTATAATTCACACCCTTTAAGTACAGCAAAGGAAATGTACACAGGCTGTGAAGGCAATAGACAGAATTCTGCAGCAACACTGAGTGTAAACGACCCGATCGGAGCAAATAAACCAGGGCCTCCATGTTGGATTCCATCGTTGCTCTCTTCTTAGAAGTATTTGCATTTTTCTTCCACCTCACGCATCACGCCTCTCACCTTCCTCAATCTCAGACATACAAAGCCTTTTGTTTCCTTCTCTCGCATTCAGCTGTGTTATCCCTTTAACCACCGTGATCCTATTTGTCAGGTAGAGTGTGCCGTAGGTGCAAGAGAGGTGGCTGTGTAATCTTTGCTGCAGTTCTTTATCCCGTTAGGAGCGCGGAGCCTCGCCTAGGGTTTGGACCTGCTCATGTGGAAAGAGTGTTTGGGTGGCTCTGTCCTTTGCCAGCCTAATGCTTTGACAGGCCACCTCCCCTAATCTAAAGTCATGTGATTACCATACGCACAATTTGCACAAGCACATTCATATTTTTAGCTACATATTGAGTCTAAAATTATTTACCTTATTAAATATTTTTGCTTTCAGATTTTAAAAAAATGCATGAACGCAGCAAGAATGTTTCTGTTATATGTTCATATGGGCACATTTAAACAATTAGTTATTATATATAACCACATATTGTTAGCAAGGTTACATCTTCATGGTTGCACAATCTTGGAGCCTCAATAGAAAGCCTAGTTATTCAAATTTGCTGTGCAGCTGTTTAAGTCGCTGAGATTTTCCCAAGCTTTATATTACCATTTGCAAGGAGGAGGCTTTCCTGCTGTTTGGATGTAAATTATAACCCTGGTATTATACAGGCTGATAGGAGATAAATCTCTGCAGTAATGCAATGCAGCCAGTTGCAATTGTGGGGGTAGGGGGTGAGGATTTTGTGCATGTGCGAAGGAGGGGTACTGTACAAAAGCATGTGACAGATGGAATACAGACTAGCAAAGCTCCCACTAACAATCATGCTAGACTGTCCTTTCATCATCTTTAATTTTGCTGATTTTCTGCCTCATCTATAGGAAGTAAACTATAGATGAAAGCAGAACAGTGAAGATTTCTAATACCGCTGCGTCTTTATCGAAACAATTTGGAAAGTGTGCACTTATCTTTTAGAACAAATATTAACACAGGGGAGATTAGTAAATCTAAATTTAACTTGTGCAGTCCAAAAAGGCTGAGAGGCTTCAGGCCTCACGAGCCGAGCACAGATCCCTTTGGACTCACTATGCAAACTAGGGCTTGAATAATGAGATGTATTTATGAAGGGCTGGGAAGGGGGTCCTGCTATTGAAATAGAATGCTGGAGTCTGAATCGAATAGAAGGAGGAGGAGGAAGGTGAAGGGGGTTCTTGGACAAGAGAGAAAGGGGGTGCAGAGAAAGGGGGGGCCCAAGCAGTCTAGGCCTCAGCCAGGCAGCTGTGAAAAGGGGTCTCTTCTTTTTCCCACGCCCAGCAAGACGCGAAACACTGCCGCGGCTCGCTAGGGTCAAGTCCTGTCGCTAATATATACACACACATAAACGCACACGCAGAAAAGCAGAGACGGGGCAGGATAAAAGTTGTGCAAATTAACAAGCTGTCTGGGAGGTGACGTGGAGGGGGTGCCTGCTTCCCCCTTCAGAATATATTGTACTCCCATCAGGGGTCAGCGGGCTTCAAGAGACAGTTTGGTCTTAACTTCAACTTGAACTTAGAGTTTAGATGAGGAGTAAAAATACATCACAGAACTTGATTTATCTTAAATGTTACTTTGCTTTTGTCCAGCTAAAAATATTTTTGACATTTGTCTCCTAAACATAGAGATAACAGAGAACACAGAATCTTATCCATCTTATCTATATATAAAAAACAATCTTATTGATTGACAAACTGTGTGACACTATCCCTAATTTAAGCCCTAATCCAAGTTAAACTTTGCCTCATATCAATCAGTGATCAAACCAAATAAACACTAATTGTTGTATTTGAATTATCCCAGTTGACACTGTACTCACTTAGATTTGATATTTATTTCCTATAAATTAATGCTTTACTTCAGACACCTAGAGCATCACATCATATCAAAAAATACGGACTATGTTTTGTCCTAATATCTACCCCGTAGATTCAATACAATCAGATTAAGCCAACTATTATTGTGAACTAAATTGATACACATTTAATCAAAAGAAAGATTTATTTCTCTTTTCTGCCTATACCTCCTTCCTTTCCCTCTCTAGATAAGGCATGGCACACCAAACAAAATGGTGCAGTGTTCCCTTCCCTTCCGGCTCTCTTCCATCAATGGATCAGTAGATTCAGGGAGCGGTGTCACACTAATTCGGTTCCCCCTGCCTCCTGGAGCCTTTCGCCTTAATTCTAGTCGGTAAAAAAAAAAAAAGCACCATCTATCTTTGTGAATAGATGAACAGGCATCCTGTCGTCACACTCACTCTCTGCTAGACCCCCTCTTCCTTCCTGACTCTCCCTCTGTCTCTAGCTCATCTCGCTCTCCTCATTATCATGTTCCCTCCTATTCAGATGAGCCTCAAAATAGAGAGGGAGAGCCTTTCTAATTAGCTCTGTAAAGATGCTTTGTTGTGGTCAGTGCGGCCGTCGGTGTGTGCATTGAAAAGAAGATGTGTGACAGCTAGTGTTGGCATTGAGAAAGTGTGTATAGGGCCCTTAATGAGGTTTGTTAGCTGAGTGCGTACCCCGCTGTTTGAATGCGTCCACGGCCGCCTTTGAAGGAACAGAGATGAAGAGAGCGAAGGAGTCTTTCAGTGCGGTGTGGCAGGTTGCAGGATGCAGATGATGCATTATGCTCCGCATGGTTTCCATTTGAACAGCAAATGAGAGGTGGATTGTGCTTTATATACAGGTTGTTCAGGATAACTGTGGGAAATATGCAGCAGTCGTGGTGCTCATCAGAAATGTTTACTGAGAGTTATTCTGGAGGGGAACATTTTTCTGAGAGACTGCTACTTAGATAACCTTTATGTCTAAAAAATAAAGGCTTACACACGTTTTTGGAATTTGATCTGAAAATGATTAAATAGCAATTTTATAGTCATTTTAATGTGTTGTTTTGTCCTAAAAATGTGGCAATTAAAGACAGCTGAAGCAGATGAAAGTGGAGGAGAAGGCAAAAAAATAGGTTATGAAATGAAGGATTTCTTGGAGCCACAGAGCCAACCTGCTGGGCCTGCCTGCTGCCTCAGAGATTGTAAACTGTCACTCAGGATGCAGGCACAGAAGCAAGACAGAAATCATTTGCCCATATTACCCTCCAATACAGGATCCGCCGTTAACATGTCCCCTTCTCTCCTATCTTCCCCTCCATCTGCAGCTGGTATTTCTCTGTGCCTCTGCCCGTGCACATGCATTATATGAACTTGCTGCCCCTCCGAGAGATTTCCTCCTCTCTCTTGATAAAATGAGTCAGCTTGCAGCATGCTCTCCCCCTCATTGTTCGATGGTTCGTTGCCTCTCCGTAGGAGGCAGGCAGGGAGTGTTTGGGCTCTTTTTCCCCTGTTTTACTAGTTTACCAGTGTAATCCTTTACACTGGCACAATGAGCTTTCACTCCACCCAAAGGATGCTATTAGGCTCCCAGAGAGACACGGGATCTCCATAAACATTTTGGAGCTTCTCCTGCAACCCCCTCCTCACCACCTATACCGCCTCATGGCATCAACCAGGAGGAGATCTTCTTCTATATGCTTTAAACAAAAACCTCCCCATTCATTTAGAGTGAAGAGATTTACCTGTGGAGCAAAAGCTTAACTCATTCAGCTTCACCCCCAATACAGTGTTTCTTTAATAAGCAGAGGCAACCAAGAAAAGCCTCTATTCATGCATCTTTAAAAGAGTTAAAGTTTCAAAAGCGTCAAACATTATTTTTTTCAGCAAGACAACAAAAGCTAAACAACCGGTGTTTAAGTCTAATTACTATAAACTGCTTTTTTAATGAAAGGAAAAATAACTGAAGGAGGCTTTAGATGCTGTTAGCAAATTTAAATTAGATTCATTAAATTTAATAGAAAAGTGTATTTAAATTTTCGAGTCTAATTTTTGGGAAAATCTATAGTAAAGCTTCATCCTCTAATATATTTTAAGCTGTTGGTCTTCACAGTCAGTCAGATACCAAGCAAAAGAGTTACCAGCACACTTTATATTCAACTTGGACAACACAGATAGAGAAATGATTGATAAGACTGTATAGCACATCAACACAGCTGCACATATTATATGTCATTAAGCTGAAATGCTGAGAAATTATTATTACAGAATAACTACTGAGTAGTACACATTAGGTTATTTTAGAAGATCCTTTCTTTTACTGCTATATTAATAAAGTGGATTTAAGGAAACAAGCTGATTATTCATAAATGTATTAATTAGTCGGTTGTCTTTATTCAATATTTTGATGTTGCCCTTCAAATTTCATGGTAGGAAATCATTTAATGCATGATGTGTCCCACATTATTAGTTTGGATTCTGAGGAATCGACATCCCTGAAATTCCTACAGAATCTGTCCACTGATGCTGTTTTATTAGTGTAATAGTGATAGTAATAGTGAATATTGCTGAAAGCGTTTCAGATTTCTGAAGGCACCACTGCTTGTGAGATATATTTCTGTTTCTGCAATCTCCTCTTTTTTCTCTGTGCCCAAACGTATCACTCTTGCTCATGTTTGTCTCCCCCCCCCAGCGCCCCCACTTCTCCCCCGGCCCTCTCTCGGCTCCCATCTTAATAATGCCGCTCTTTTCTTTCACACCGCATGGAGGGCTGCCCTGAACCAACATTGTCCCTTGCACTGTCTCTGGTGGAGGGGAGGGGGCTATTGTGTGTGAAGGAATGGCGAGTTAACACCCATGCCTGAACCCCCTCAATGGGGGCATTGTGTCTGAATCTTCCTCAAGCTCTCTCGATCTCGCCCCCATGTCACCTCACTCTACAGCAAGCTGAAACAGGGGTGACTTAGGCTGCTTTGCTCTTATGTTATTAGGTTGAGGTTTGTTTTTTTTTTAAAGCAGCATGTAACACCAAACTGAACACTTTCTAAATCCTTTCTCATATCTGACCTACGACCGTTTAACCTTCCAGTTTCTGTATCTTATTATTTTCAAGCAACCCAAACTGAGCTGAAGATGCTTTGTGGCTGGCTCCAAAGAAAATTTGAGGGCTGGTGGGTGTACGGTTGCAAAAAGGAGGCCCCTGCAATTCATTTTTTTCTTCCTCAGAATAAAAAGAACAAAGAAACACACAAAGGACCTTATCATATTAGCATGATAACAGCGTTCAGAATACTTTCAGAACATTTCAAGAGGAATGGCGGCAAAGAACTCTAGAGATGAAATTATTAGCATTATTTTCAAACAGAAGAGGTTATAAGGATGATTTTAACCTGGAAGGTTTAGATTTTAATGGAGCATTTTACATTGGAACAGAGACGACTGCTTCGCTTTGCACACAGCAGTTTGAGCATTTTTATTTGGATTTTTTTTTTTATGCAACAGCGAGAGCCTTGGGGCGGGTTACAAAAGAGCAAGTTGGTGTTTTCTTCCCACATATTTTTAATCAAAGTGTTAGTGTTTACATTTGCATTTGCATTGAGCAGAGGGATGTTGAGTGCTAAAGGTGAGATTTTGAAAAACATTCTGCTTTGCCTTGTTTTCAGATGGAAACAAGGGTGGGTGGCTGGAAGGCTGGATAAAGGCTGGTGGATGACTGAACCCGGCGACCTGGTGCAGCTCATCATCATTGCCGGGGGCCTCTCGTCTTCTTCCTTCTCTCCCATGGCTCCTACCTCCATCCAGGGGTCTAGCAGAGCCCAGCGAAGCCCAGCCGGGGAGCTAGTGAGTGGGCTGGGAAGGATGGAGAAGGTCCCTGAAGGCAAGAATCACCTCTGGAGCTATCAGTGTGCAAGAGAAATCAATATGAAACACAGAATCTTCACAGCTTTGAGTGGGGTTTCCTGTGTTTTTAAGTGTGTGGCCTGGAGGGCCTGCAGACCTGCAAAGGACATCCCCTGCGCGCCTCTCTCAGCTGCAGCCTCGGCTCCTTCTCTGGACCTCAGCCCTGGTCTCTACTGGCTGTGTGTGGTTCTGCTGAAGGGTTTTTCTCCCCAAATGATATCCACAGTTTTGAAAGACTGCTGTGAGGCAAATTCCTTTCTCTTTTTTTTTCCCCATCACGAGATTGACATATCCCACCAACCTTCTGCCTCTGGCAACCAGCTTGGAAGCTCTGCCTTTGACTCACTCTCCATCTTCAGCTCTTCCTCTGTTTATTCCCCAACTAGTTTTCACATTTGACAAACAGACACTGCGATCTTTATTTTCCACCTCCACTTTTGGCTTGCAGTATGAATGATGAGCTCCAGACAGATGTCTTTCAAAAGCAGACATAATGGAAAATGAACCCTGAACATTTTTTTTTCCATCATACTTATTATTCAATTTCAGACGGCACATATCATCATCTGACTGCAAAGCAAAGAGGACTGAAGATCAGAGAGCACAGAGACCTTTTATTGGAGACAGTAAAATGGCAAGTACCTCTCAGCAACACTCCACATGAACAACTCTGAATATCTATAATCATAAACTGTCTCCTCATTTGGGTGTGTGTGTGTACTGAGGGCCTTTTTCTTTGCACATTACTTAAATATTTCCACCCTGGTTGAATTTCTACGAAGAAGGTCAACACAGAACATAGTTTGTGAAGTAAAAAGAAAAGAATTCATTGTTATTAAAATTTGTGAAGCTTATGTGTTCAGCTGCTAGTAGTAGTTAATTAGGAGTTAAAGCTGCACGTCTTTCTGAGTGTCTCTATGACCTTTGAATATCTGAAAACTCATTTTTTTACCCCATCAAATAAGTTCGATTGAAAGAGTCAGTCAATGTGATTTAATAAATTCTTTATTTGATTTTGGTCTTGGCTTTGATTGGACCACTCTACCACAGGAATATGAACTGGTGTCAACCAATTCATTATTGCTTTTCCTGTTGGAGGGTTGACTCTTTTGCAGCTTCCTTTGGCATGATTCTGCCACTACCATGTTTCACCATAGAGAGAGTTTATTCAAGGGGATGGGTGAGGTTAATTTTTAGCTGGTTGTGAGACAGTAATTTCGTTTTGGTGTTTCAAGACCTAATCAGCTTCTTCCATGTGTTTGATGCGTTTTCTAAATGGCTTACGTTGAACTGATATCTGGATTCTTTAACCCCTAGAACCCGACGGACCCACCGGTGGGTCC